TCAATCTTAGAGTAACATGCTGGAGCAGTGCCATCTCAGTGGGTGGTATACTGGATGTCTGCCATGCACATGCACGCTTTACCTGAAACAACCTCGGGAAGGAGCAAAAAGACTGCAGTTTTAAGACGGAAATAAGACTCCTCAGATTTTTTAAGATGAAAGAAATTCCTAAATGAACTGATCGAAGAATTAAATATCTGTTCACAGTAAACAAAAGCCACAAAGTAGAGGACGATTCACAAGTTTCCAGTGAATGACATCAAAGCAATGAGTTTAGCCATAGATTTGAAGTTTCCCCAAAGGATATACAAGTATTCTTACATAACGCCAGTAACAACATTTCTTTCAAGCACGACAACTATTCTATTGTCTACACACTGTCTCAATTACAGACAGCAGCACCAATGCTGTGAGTATGTGAGTGCAAACTTTGAGCCATGAATCTAGTCAGGCTCAAAGAAAGACATTCTGCAAATAGGTGAGAAGGGCCGCTAAATCAGGCTCAAGCTAAATACACAGAGAAACAGCAGATGTACTCAATGACCCCACAAAATGCATTGCAGTCTGCTTTATGTGATGACATTTGTCTATTTATAAGTTTATTTAAAAAAGTGTGCTGCATTTCACTACAGTGGTTCTTCATTCTGAAACCCATGGAATTGTAAAGGGTTGGCTGATAAGTAACTGGCATTCACTTTAAGTTCATCAACTGAAGTGTTTCATGACTAGCACTGGTACGGCCCGTCGATGCTCCCATTGGTTAAAATGAATACAAATCCTTGTGGTCCCTCATCATTCGTTTAACCATTAAACCTCCAGCAAATCCATCTGGTTGGTTAAGCCAAGAGAGGAAAGTATCAAAGTAAATAAATGTTAAATAATATATTTTCATTTAAAAATGAAACACAAATTAAGTTGCTTTTCCTGTCACACAATAAACATCCATGAAATGTACTGGAAAAAAAACCTTACTACTGTTTGTTATAAAGCACAAACATCAGACTTTTTATTTTTGATGATTCTACCCGGATGCAGGGTTGTGTCAATGACATAAATACTGAAGGCAAAACTGATTTTGGTAAAAGTAGATGAACTTTAATTAGTGCAACAGAGACATGTCTGATCAATGTGTGTAAATTACAGGCTGCAGATCATCGCTAACGGCAACATCAATTCCATGGAAACTCCCAACCCGGCTTCATCTGTCATCCACAGATCTACAGCACTTCATATTGGAACAACAGCATTCAGAGGGAACCGCTGTGTTTCACCGCTGTGTGTGGATGTAGTTTGTGCAAAGACCAGATGGACACCATCACAGAGGAGGAATGCACTTACTGCAGCTGTGAGCACTCACACACACAAGCACATACACACACATGCAGACCAGCTGGGGATATGTGTACTATAATTCAGGAATTATTGTATTTGTATTATAAAAAAAACAAAAAAAAACATTTTACCAGTATGGGCTCACAGTCAAAAACGTGAACTCCAATACTTTGTGTGAGTAAGTAAGTAAGTAATGTTTATCTTACTGTAAATAGCACATTTTACAGACCAAGGTCACCCAAAGCACTTGTCAATGTTCAGAGTTCAGCACCATCCATTCACTCTCTCATCTACATTCATACCTATTGTGCATGTTTTTAGTGGAGGGGAAACCGGAGCACCTGGAGGAAACCTATGCAGACACGGGGAGAACATGCAAACTCCACTCAGAAAGGCACTGTCCGAACGGGATTTGAACCCAGGACCTTCTTGCTGAGAAGCGAGAGTGCTACCCATTTAAGCTCTGAATGACCTTCAAAAATGAAGTTCTTGCAAAATGTCTTCAGGTTAATTCAAACTGGGTTCACCAAACAGGCTGTAAAACAAATGCAGTATGTCCAAAAAGCTGCTGCTCGAGTCCTGACTAGAACCAGGAAGTATGATCACATTTGTCCAGTCCTCAGGTCTCTGCACTGGCTTCTTGTAGCTCAGAGAATAGACTTTAAAACAGCTCTGCTTGTGTACAAGTCTCTCCATGGCCTCGCACCAAAGTACATTAGTGACATGTTAGTCCCATATGAACCAAGGAGGACTTTAAGGAGCACAGGGAGTAGCCTCTTGCTGGTGCCCAGAGTCAGAACTAGCAATGGGGAGGCAGCGTTTCAGATTTATGCAGCTTAAATCTGGATCAATATTCCTGAAAATGTGAGGCTGGGCTCTACTCAGGCAGTTTTAAAATCCAGGTTAAAAACAGTTCTCTTTTGAAGTGCATACAACTGAAGGATTATAGCTCTACAACTGAATGATTATTATTATACATATTTGCTCTTATTAATGCACTGTGGCTATTTATTATTGTGTGATTTTAATGCTTTTTTTTTTGATTACTTTCGATTTTATTTTTTCAAAATATTTCTTGTGATGTTAATCATTGTTTTTAATTAATTTCTTCTAAATGTATGTGTAGATTTTAATGTTTATGATTTGCATGATGTGATGTGGGTTGTGAGGCGCTTTGTGTTGCCTTGAAAGGCGCTCTACAAATAAAAGTTGATTGATTGATTGATCAAACAGAACATAATATTGTCTTTAACTGATTGCCGTTATCTTAAATTCCCAATCCAAAACATGCATGCAAAACCAAACATACCACTCATCCAAAACAACTGGGATCTCAAATCTGTTGGGGAAATAAAGTTACAGAAATGGTGTAACTAATCCAGTGATGACAGCTCTTTTACCATTCATGTGTCAGGCTGCTGCGCGTCACCTGCAACAGAAGCTTTAAGTGAAATGTGAGGACCTCAGGGACCTCTGTCTGCTAACTATGAGCATGTGCCCTGGTAGGGTGTTGTGGTCATAGCGCAACCTGAAGCTAATTAATTACATATGTATTATACCATCTGAATGCATGTCAAACACTCTAATGTTTGCCTAATTTGTTTTGTGGCCCACATGATTTTGAGTTTTGCTATTAACTTAATTAGCATTGAGGTTAATATTGCAACGATGCCACGTTATACATTAAGCTAGTTTTCTCTAGAACATCACCACCATTTATCATATTATTCTAAATAAAATAAAATGATAGGTTGTAGAATAAAAAAAACAAATGGCATCGGCCTGCAATACTCAACATTCATCTTATGTCCAGTTTTGGTTCAACCCAAACACAACTAAAAATACAGTGCAATAACTATTCCAACATTCATGGACATTGGTCTCTCTATATATGGACAAAAATTCTATATTTTTTATAATATAACATAACTGTTTATTCTCTGATCTGTGTTGACGATTTCACCGGTTCTGTTAAAGGACGACTAAACACCTGTGTCCAACCTTACTCCATCCACATGAACATTTGAAAATGTTCTCTAAAAATGGCGTTGCCTGGAGGACCAGAGGACAAGAAAGGGGGTTTAGAGTTGGGCGTAGTCTGGGCTGTGATTGTCATTGCTGCGATAAGCAATAGTTTATACACCAGAAAGTATCATTCCACCCTTGTTTACACACTAAGATAATTGTAGAGCTACACACCTGAACCTAATCCTCAGAATTATCTCAACAGTAGTGGCGGTCAACTGATGTAATTTAATTTTAATCTACTAGATGTCGCCAGAATACTCCTACTCGCTACTGAGGCGCTCGTCACACATACCAACTGACATCACACAGTACTCCAGAGCCAATAAAGAGGTCAATTCAAATGTAGTGCCTCCAAAAAGGTAGGGAGGGCGCCACACAGACAGTTAAAGGCTCAAAAGTGAGAATTTATCTTATTTGAATGATCTCTACAACTTAAAATGCAACTATAGAAACAAATTAGCACAGACACAAAAATGTATGTCAAAATAGCTTCCTACAAATCCTAACCTAGTCCTAACAGGGCGGCACGGTGGCTGAGTGGATAGCACTCTCGCCTCTCAGCAAGAAGGTCCTGGGTTCGCCGGACCAGGGCTTTTCTGAGTGGAGTTTGCATGTTCTCCCTGTGTCTGCGTAGGTTTCCTCCGGGTACTCCGGTTTCCCCTACCACTAAAAATATGTACAATAGGTCTGGCATGCGCCTCCTGTTCGGCGACCCCGCTCCCATCTCTGTGTGGAGTGAGAGGACAAGTGCCCAAAAAATAACAATTGTAAACCGCTTTGTGACTCTGGTCTGTGAAAGGCGGTATATAAATAAAGCTTACTTACTTACTTACTTACAACAACCTTGTTTTAATCATTTATCCAAAAAAAGTTATGGAGTTATATAAACTCCAGTTATATAATTTGCTATCGGCCCAGACAAAAAATGACTTTGACACCCCTGATCTAATCCCTGAGTGGACCTCCATGACTTTGTACGGGGACAACACCAGTCCATCTGGTTGTGTTGTCGGGCAGTATCAGACCAATTCTTCAAACTTAAGAAAGAATGAAAATGTGAGGTATAGTTGGCTGCAGTGAGTGTGCTTCTCATTGAAATCATATGGCCAAAGTCTGAAAGCCAAGTCCTGTTTTCCTTTTTTACTGATCCAATTGTGAGTGAGATGTTAACAAGCAATAAAATGACAAGTTCACAATGGATGGATGACAATAAAAAATGTTGCCAGTCCCAATAAGAAAACGCAAGATGGATATCTCAATCTCATTCTCAATTCTTAGCACATTTGACTTTGTTCTTTTATCTGGGGCTGAAAACACTCAAAAGTACATATCTGTGTGCCATGTGTAGTTTGTTTAGCTGCAAACACCAGATCTGATTACGCTGAGTCTGATGTAAATAAGTAAATCATTATTTGAATGGACGGCAAAATAAACAGTGGTTACAGATAGATCAGTGATCGATTGGTGTTGACATAATGACCAACACATGCGTTAGCTGCTAGGAAACATACAAACCAACTTCCAGTGATAACTGATCTCCGACAGAATTACAAAGCAGTCAAGAAGATGTTAGATGAGCCTATACAGTATACACATAATTTCTGCAAAACAAAACTCTTCCTTGTATAATCTTTGTTTACCTTCCTGCTTTCCTCAATTTGTCTCAATCGCTCTCTTTCCTTCTCTTCTCTCTGCATTTGTCTGCGAAGCTTCAACACATAATGACAGTAGAAATCATTAAATGTTACAAAACATATTGGATAACAGACAGTATACAACAGATCTCTCACCCTATCCTCCCGACGGGAATCCCACTCCTCCTCCTGTGAGGCAGATGTGGGCTCTTTGCAGAAGTTTCTGGAGTTGCCCAAAAATGTGTAGTCCTCCTCTTTGCACAGACCTCTCATGGACTGGTGTGAAAAGGGTCGGAAACCCCCAAGATGTTTTTAAAAGTAAGAAAGAATCGTGAGGGAATTGAGAGGTTGATATCATGCTAAGAAATGAGGGCCTGTATTTATAACGCATCACTATGTTGATCACATAATGGACAGTGTTGTCAAAAAGGGTCATCACTCACCTTGGACATTGGGATTTCATAAAAGCGATTCACATGAGCCATTGCACGTCAATACAAAAAAGAAATACAAAACAAAAAAAACACTCAGGGTTAGATTAAATGTATTTTCGAGCCAGTTAAGATCCAGTGATTATGATGATTATTCCTCTGTGTCCAAACACTAAAAGATCAGATCTGACCCCTGTTTTCTTTCTTATAGAGATGAGGTGAGGCTGCAGTCATTTCCTCAGAGCAGTGACAAAAGTACCACTGGGCCTCTAATAAAATACCAACCACAATTATACAGTGTCTGCATCAGTCCATGAGTCTCGACATAATATTGACCTGACTATATAACCATACCTTGTACTGATCTACTCATCTCAGCGTTCAATTTAAATTGGTCCGTTAACTGTCATGTGAAAATTATAAAATGTATTTACCAATGGAGTGACAATATTTGAACACTGGATTATTTAATTAACCCGATCTATATCAAACAAAGTTTAAAGGCAATGTTAATACACAGTATAGAGCCTCCACCATCTGGTTTTAGGATCCTTTGAGTTTTCCATGGATCTATAATAATATCTGGATACGGTAATATAAACATGACATTTATCTCAACCTAATCAAGACAGCTCTTGAATTTCTATCACTGATAATGTTCAAAAAGGGTGATTTTGTCTTGACACGTCACCAAGGTGTGAAGGTGGCTCGCAGCAACAAAGTTATACATCTTAAATGTCTTTCTAAAGAACCACACAAAAACAATATCACTGATACTGTTGTTGTTGTTAATAATAGTTATGGCGGCTTAAGACACTGAAAGTCATATTTACAAGGGTAAGGAGCACATCTCTTTAATGTTCATGTTATCACTTGGTCAATCTACTCCTAATACTCGGTCTACAGCCATAACAGCCGAGCTAAGATGGTTGTTAAGGCAAGCTGTTAATGGCAGCATCTGATTGGTCAATTCTTATGACTTACAAAGACTATATATATAAAAAAACAGGATCATAGAGAGGGATAACCACATATTTTTGAGCCCAAAATGGGGAGTGTGACACAAACGGTTACTGAGCTATTAGAGTTTGCTTTTCAGTATAAGTCAAAACTCGAGGGATGATATTGTTAGTAGGGGTGGGAACCTAAGGGTACCTCACGATACGATACGATACACGATACAAAGCTCACGATAACGATATTATCACGATGACGATTTTATCACGATATGACGTGATATGTTTATCAATATATTGGTCAGAAATATACAATATGCCAATTTATGGCATAAATAAAAGAAAAACTACACTTTATTTTATGATAAATGGAATGGAGATGCGTAATGTAGCCATATTAAGTATTGATACCATTTTTTTTTTAAATGTAAAAAAATAAATAAATCAATTTTTCTTTTTCTTTTTTCAAAATCGATATCGATACTTGCCAAATGCATATCGATAATCGAATCAAGGGAGAAAGTATCGCGATATATTGTCACACCCCTAATTGTTAGCATAGCATCTATATAAAGTCTATGAGTTCATTCATTTGAAACAAAAATCTTAAATCTTGATGTGACTAACTACCAATGAGCTCATTGGTAGTTAGTCTTAGATAAAGTAATTTGTTTGAAGAATTGTGAGTTGACGGCTATAGTAAATGTTTGGACTAGACAAAAAATAGTTTATGTGATCTTGTAACACTAAGCCAACAGTAGGAGCCATGCTGAAGCCAGAAAAACATCATTTCAAAACATTATAGCAGGACATAAAATGTATGATGTCTGCTAATTCAGGGGGCTATTAGTGTCTGGAAGATTATGTGTATTTTATGGGTTTTTAACTTACAACGTAAATATAAATTATGCTCTCTTTTGTGTTTGGTGGTGAGTTATGACACAGGGGAAGGGTAGACTCAAACTGTTAAGACAGATTTATGTCAGAGAACAAGACTAATGTGATCTAGAATCCGCAAGCATGTCTGGCATCTGCAGCTCTGCATGTTGTCAGTTCACACAGACGCACTACATTTTGCACTTGCATCATTTGTGACTTTAGACCCACAAATATCACTTTATAGCATCATTCCCACTGAGCAAAAACACAGCAATTTCAATCAAAAACCACAAGAGGCTCTTTCCTTACGCACTGAGCGAGTCTAGCTGGCATGTCACAATAAGTCATTTAACCCCAGACGTGTTCAGTAAGAACAATCAGGTTTAATGCAGCTGTAGTTTTGACAGCAATAAGGACATGCGTGTAACAGCCTGCTGGTTACATGTGGGTCAGGAAGTTAGATACTACACACACTTCACACAAGGGACGATTATTTCATGCCGTTAGTTTGGGCTGTTGTACATATACTTCCTTCAATAGGTTCTTGTAAAGAGAAAAAGTCCAAGATTAAGAGTAATTGATTCTTTATTTGTCCAAATGTGGGGAAATTTCAAAGTCAGCGGTTAAACATACTTCTCTACGTTAATGATAAACTTGATGCTCTCTACCAAATCAGGGAGGGACCTTTTCATATTTATGCTAGTAAAACAGTCTTCCTGAAAATATGAGACTGGTTTCAATGTTGTCATGTTCAAATTCAGGTTGAAACCAGCCCTGTTTAGCTGCACATACAACTGTAAGATTGTATCCACACTCTAATGTTGTGGGATTTTTTATGTTCGTATAAATTCAAAATGTCTTGTTTTGTTTAAAAACACATTGAGTTTTCTTCTGTGAATTGTGCTATACAAAAAAAAATCAAAGAAGTTATTCCTTATTAATATTATTAGTATTATTATTGTTATTTTTAGTTTATATTGTTTTTTGGCCTTTCTGTTTTAACAAGGGTCAAAAAAATCGCCTAAAATTTGCCAAAAAATCGCCTAAAATTTGCCAAAAACTTGTTTGTTGTTGTTTTGGGTCAACACGTGGGGCCTCAGTAAGGAAAGTTTTGTTTCACTAGAGTTCACTGATGTTGAAGAGGTGTAAGAGTAAACCATTAAAAAACATTAGCCATATTTATTTGCTTACAACCCCAAAAATGAGCTCCCATGGATTTTGAGTGTGGGTTTTTCATAAACTTTAGCCCAAGCCATACATCAAACACAGCTCTGGTCCTAAAGAAAACACATCCGTCCCATTCACTGCCTGCAAAACTCCCTGCATATGTTTTAGTCTTCAGGTAGCTGCCGCCAAAGATGTAACAGCTCTGCCTGTGTGAGACCGTAAAATGAATGATGCTCTTATAGTAATCTATCCACTTCTAAGACCCCAGATGCCATTTTTGTGTCTGTGAACCATAAAGATCCCGTTTTATGACCTAAAGTGGGGCACTGAAGATGTGAGAGAGAAGGATGTGTGGTTATTTAGAGTGACGGGGTCGTAACTCCACTTCAACTAAAACTGAAATAACATTATGTCACGCTGTTATGGGAACAAGATGCTCTTCAAAAGTCATTAGCAAACGGGAGATCACTGTTTTTCTCCTTAAACCATTATACGTTATAATCTGTGATGACATTGTTAAAATAGTGTCAGGTTTCTCCGAGTCAGATGACGAAGAATGTTATTATTTTATTACACTAATCTAATATATGTGACCTACATTCAACAAGAAAACAATAACATTATTGACAGCTGTAGAAGCTATACACACTATGAGATGCAAAAACAACTTGTGAATGTAATTTATTAGGATAATTGAAGCACAAAAAACAGTTTATGGAATTCCAAGGCTTAAAGCAGTGTAAAGTTTATTTGATCCTCGCGCTCATAGACTGTATGTGTGGCATTTTAAGAACTGGAAAATAGGCTTGGCTTTCTTGCATTCATATTTAAAGAAAAGCAGTTCAGGAAACGGAAATCTTTTATCTTCATTTGTTTTTAACATAGTGTTAAAAAAATGTTTGGCAAATGAATACAGGAGAGTGCATTTAGAAATAATTGTTGTTTTCAGATTGAAAGCACATGACCCTCATTGTGCTAACTCTACTGTTTGGCTCACAAAAACATGCACTTGATTTACTGCAAACTTAGGCTGGATTGACAACAACAACAAAACCTGATTTCTGAAGTAATGTAGCGAGAAATATGCCTGGCATTGAGGAATAAAAAAAGGATGTGGAGTTCTGGGCTTGTGTCCGAGCAGAAGAGGTTTTTTATTGTGGTGCACATCATAAACGATACGGCCACTTTTCACAGCGTTAACTTGGTTTGTTCCAAGACAAAAATACAGAATCTCAACCAAGCATCAGCCGCGTTGGTAATGGATAAGTTTGCTTTGAGGAACAGTACTGACTGAGCAGACTGTTGAAATGACGGGCTAGATTTTTACATAATTGCACAAAAAGTCTTATTAAAGGTCCTGACCACAAATACATTTCACTTCCAGGTTATTATGATCAACCATTTTATCAGTCTGATGACTTTTATAAAAGGTATATCCATCCATCCATCTGCCCTAACATTAGATGTATCGTCCATCTGCCTTATCAATTTAGATGTTTTCTATGCTTTTTATACAATACTACTACATTTATTCACAAAAATAATGCACTCACCACACTGTTTAACTGTCATTTCGCAAAATAAATAATGCAAACTAAACTTTATTGTAAATTCAGTAACAACAGCATAGCTTCAAAAGTCAATGCTGTTATGACCCAGCTTTAAAACTAAATGCTGTCGCATTGAGTGGTCTGGGAGTTCTGGTGTTAAATTCTTCCCATCTGGCATGGGTTGAGTGGATAGCTCTCTCGCTTCGCAGCAAGGAGGTCCTGGGTTTGAGTCCTGGTCGGAACAGGGCCTTTCTGAGTGGAGTTTGCTTGTTCTCCCCATGTCTGTATAGGTTTCCTCTGGGTACTCCGGTTTCCCCTACTACTAAAAACATGTATAATAGGTCTGGCATGCGCCTTCTGTACTGTCGACCTTGCACCCATCTCTGTGTGGAGTGAGAGACAAATACCAAAAATAACAATTGTAAACCGCTTTGTGACTCTGGTCTGTGAAAGGCGCTGTATAAATAAAGACTTACTTACTACCATGGCTCATTTATTTTGC